GTTATTTATTCCTTTATTCGCGCACGGGCGGTTATTTTATACCATAAACTACGTATTTAGTATACATGTATTATATTGATTGCCTGTACATTTAGTTTTGTTACCTAATACAGAGTAGCTACTAATCAAAACATACAATGAATGTGCCCATCTCATTACTACCTATCCTATTTGCACCATCTTTTTCTTCCTTGCATTGCATCATTTTTCCTTTTCCTTCAAATTTGTTCCCCTTCTCCATCAAAATACCAACAGATTATTAGCTCTTTACATACAACTATTGAAATTGTCCCCAATAGGATATATGCATACAGTAAGCCCATTTACAAAATCCTTTTTTCAAGGAAAATTTGATGACCCCGTCCATCACTCATGGATACGCAGGTACTACATAGGACTTAATTTCACGTGCTGCTGTTGCTTCTTATTCCAAAAACTCTGTTATGCCACACCGAGTGAAGTATCATGTGGAAAGCGTCATACTTGACGGGTTTAGGGTGCCATAGGAAATGCTGTTGGACAATCTTAACCCTTCGTTGCATCTCTCGGAATCTCCTGTCCGGGATTGATGCAAGTATGTTCTTCAGCTCTGGAATATTCTTCTCCGGGACAAAAACTGCAAAAGATTCCCAGTTCAATGTCTCAAAAAAGGGGGGCACAAAGTTGTCTGATATGATCACAGGAACACACTCGTAGAAGATGGCCTCCACCACGCGGGGGCTGTTCACTTCGTACCTGATAAACACATATAACAAACAAACTAAAATGTGATGAAGAAGAAGTTACACAAAAACTTATGGGGACAAGTTTTTATTTCATTCCCAATCATTCCTTAATACAAACATCCATTTCTACAGAATTATAACAGTATAAAACAAATGAGGAAAATTGCATTCCTTCGAATAGGACGATCATTAACTTTTTCCTAGTTTTTCCCCTTTAGGATTCAATGAGCCATAGCTGTGCACGTGCTCCATGTTTTACTCCTATTTACTATAATCTCTTAAAACATAACTACTTAACTAGACAATAGTAGAAACCACCACAAGTGTGATTTAGGCAAACCTTACCTCTCTTCAACAACCACCCACTAAGAATAACTTCATCGTAATTAATCATCTAATACTAATAAAAAATGAATTAATACAATTTTAAGACCAACGCATCCAGAGAAAAGAGTTTAACTTGATGAATGTACAACTTTTTATACAGATGTGAAAATCGTGATTTTTACGAATATTTTTTGAATTATTTTGTGCAAAGGACTTTTTTCTTTTCGAATGGAGAGTAATAATAATATAGTGACCAACTAACTTACATCAAAACTACCCATTAATATAACTAAATAACAATAGTGGTAGTAGTAGTACAAGTACTAGTAGTAGGAATAGTAATGATAATTCAAAGGTTCATTGGTACCCCTTTGCACAAATGCAGTACTTGCTGCTCTTCATGTAGTTGACATATGCTTCCATATCTATGGGGCCAAAGATTTTCATGGTGGAATCTTTGTTCCCCCAGTGTTGTAATAGAACAGGGCGGAGGTAACCATGCATGTTCCCGGCAAAGAAAGCAAGGTTTTGGCGTTGCGAAAGAGAATTTCCACCAATTTCTCTAAGGGGTTTCTTTGATGATTTCACGTATGTTTCTGGAAGAGATGCATCTTTACCAAATCGGAATCCTTGTTTAGCATCTGCATTGCACAAAGCTCTTATGCAATTTGTCATAAGTCGCCTTGTCTCTGTAGGGGCCTGTTAGAAATGCCATATCATCAGTTATGGTACCACAACTTGATGTCCTAGTCACTTTTGATCCTCATCTTCAAAGAACTAACACTTTTAGTCCTTCAGAGCACCTTTTCGGTGAAAATGTGACCTGAACTCTAGGTAATATGCCTCTTTAATGTGATCAGAATCACCAAGGTTGATAAAAATGAAACTGGTGCACCAAAATTCATGAGTTTTTTAAATCAATGACCAAAAATGATTAGAACACTCAAGGCGTGGGATGAAAATGGTATTCATGCTGAACAATTTGTATTAGCCTTGTTGAAGTGATAGATTCAATCATCATCATCATCAGCATCATTACCCCAGTGCCGTAAAGGCTCCCACCTACGGTAGGGTAAGGGGGGTCAGATGTACGCAGTCTTACCTCTGTACTATAGCACAGAGAGACTCTTTCTGGATGACTCATAGTGAAATTTGCATGGACTAACTCTTAATTCATAACAAAGAAGCGCAGACAGTTTAGTGAGCCATTTTGTTTTATTCCATCATATTCCCAAGACAAAAAATACTGAGTCTTTGGCTCCATTGCAAATGATGGAAAATGAAATGATAGATTTAATAAAAAGATTAGGGAAAAGTACAGAAAAGGTACTTGTGGTTGGGCCCGTTTTCAGAGAGGTTCATGTGTTTAAATTCCGTTATCACAAGAGGGTCACGCCGTTAAAAACGTCTGAAAAAGACCGTTAAAAGTAACTCTGATTTTCAAAAGTGCCCGAAAAATTAAAAGAAAAATACCGAAAGGTGCGCCTCGTCAAGATGACCTCCAAACCACCTTTGCCTTTGGATTTTTCAGATCTGTTTGAATTAATTTTTAAAAATGATTTCGCTAATATCACTTTTCCGATGGACTTTGCAGTGACAAGGGTGGCTGAAAACAAAAAAGAAAGAAGGCCTAGCGGTCGTCCTATTGAGGTGCACTTTCCGGTATTTTTCTTTTAGTTTTTCGGGCACTTTTGAAAATCGGAGTTACTTTTCATGCGTTTTTAACGTCGTGACCCTTTTGTGATAACGGAATTCAAACACATGAACCACTTTGATAAAAAATGAAACATATGACCCTATCTGAAAACGCGCTCAACCACAAGTACTTTTTCCGTACTTTTCCCAAAAGATTATTCCAACATCTCATGGGCCTTGAAAAGAGCAATAAGAAATCGAATAATCAAATATAAGAATTGACAGCATAAGTAATGCAACACAAATCATCATCATTACCCCAGTGCCGCAAAGGCTCTCACCTACAATGGGGTAAGGGGGGTCGGATGTACGCAGTCTTACCCCTGTACTAAAGTACCTTCTCTGACTTTCCGGATGACTCATAGTGAAAATCACGTCGAAAATTGCATGGGCTAATTGTTGCTTCATAATAAAGAAGCGCAGACATCTTAGTAATTCTTTGGCTCCATTGCAATTTGCAAATGATGGAAACAATGCAACACAAATATTTAGAGAAAATCGTACTTCTATCCCTGTAATGGTTGACTTTATGTAATATGAGACCTCACTTCAGATTCTGTGGAATTAGTTCCTGCATTTATCTTCATTTATTAAGGTTCATCAGGGTATCCTTTGAAATATATCATCCTGTGAATGTCCCCATAATCCCTAATATTTAATGGTTATGTTATGGGGATTAATTGTATCTACATTATAACCAATAAGGAACTAAAATGATAGAAGTAATACAGGTCAGGCCTTGAAAGGAACTAAGCATCATAGAAGAAACACATAGATAAGAATGTCTACAGTAACAAAGAAACACAAAAAGTAAACTGGAATATTATCAATTAGTCCCCCAATTGTTTGAAATTATGTAATAAGTGAGGAGCATTTAGTCTCCCATGTTGCAATCACTGTTTAACATGAAGGAAAGTTTACAGGGACATTCTTGGTGATATTGTGTAACGATCCCATACCGATCAAGTATGGGCTTGATTGGTGGCTTACAAGTTAGGTGTCCGCCTCCTAATCGGCTAGTCTTTTGGTAGTGAGTTCTACACCTAAGGCTTATGGCCTTGTTCTGGGCCTAGTATGGGTTAGGTCCGTAACAATTGGTATCAGAGTCATCCCCATCTTCCCTGTCCCAACACTCAGAGTGGTGGCCTATGGAGTGATGGCTTGGGCCATGAGGATGCCAACCGTGACCAACACGGCCGTGACCAATGAGGACGTTGGCTCTTCGAAGTGTGGGGTATTGTACCGATCCCACACCGATCAAGTATGAGCTTGATCGGTGTCTTATAAGCTAGATGTCCTCTCCTCCTAATCGGCTAGTCTTTTTGGAGTGAGTTTTACACCTAGGGCTTATGGCCTTGTTTTGGGCCTATTATGGGCTAGGTGCATAACATATGATGGGATGGTTAATGATAACGACAAAGGGACTAATTTTGCAAAAATTGAAATACATGTCCCAAATGATGACACTAAGGTAATCAGTCTGTTAGGAACACGGTAAAAGCAAGCAAAAATTGTCGTATATTGAAGGTAATCTGAGTCTTACAAATGGCGGAAAGAGAAGAAAGAGAAGAAACAGATCGAGACACTTCGAGTAGTCTCAACACTCCCACAAGTCCCAACTAAATTCTGCCCAACCTTTTTATTCTCCCCCAACTCCTATTTATAATGTTCTCCTTATGGGCCAGCCCAAAGCTAACTATTATCTGGCCCAAAGCTAACTATACCAATTATTTAATATACTTCTATTATTATTATTCTACTATACTTATTATTATTCTCCTCAGCCCATGATCCTATCACACTCAAGCATTTGAGCAGTGGTTTATGGTCATGAGCATTGGGAAAGTATAAAGTCTCCTCCAACATAATATCCAATATATGGGGGACAAAAAACCTGTTTTTCCCAATGACTAATGAAGTTCAAAACATACCCAGTCATGGCAGGCAACAAGAAAGTGGTCAGCCCCACTGGTTCTGTTCCAAAAGTCGTGTCTTTGAATGATGACATTAAGGTAATCACTCAAGCATTTGAGCAGTGGTTTATGGTCATGAGAATTGGGAACATATAAAGTCTCCTCCAACATTCGGGAACTAAAAGGTAAATAAAATAAGTGGGCCCTCTTTGCTTTTTTTGTCACAAAATGCTTGTTTGATTTCAGCAACTTCATGAACCAGCCCTCAGAAGCATATATTCCTTTAAGGATAGGTGTGTGGAATATAGGTCTGTATCCTTCAGAGTATATGTACACCTTGAGAGTCTGCTCCATCAATTCATAGCTCCTACACCAGATATGATGACATATATTATATATTCATTCACTGACAACAAAGATTACAAGCTATTAAAACATGGATTTTAATTTTTTATCCTAAAAGTAAAAATCAACTTAATAGCAGACATCATATGTTGATTTATATTTGGAAAATCACACTTTTAGTCCCTCAAATAGTCATCATATTGAAATGTCAGACCCGTGTTCCCCAGTTTGTAAATGTCACCCCTCAATTGTCCAAATTGTTGTAAATATGGTCCTTTGAGGGGTGAAATATACAATGTGGGCGAGAAGTACATTTCACCCCTCAAAGGACCACATTTACAGCAATTTAGACAATTGAGGTGTGACATTTACAAACTGAGGAATACGGGTCTGACATTTCAATATGGGTGACTATTTCAGGGACTAAAAGTGTGATTTCCCCTTTATATTTTTATCTGCTCGACGTGGCGTTGCTTAATGCAGCCTTCAAGAAAAATCATGTAGGTCTTATGTTTAATTCTCTGAGGTAGCTAGTTCGAGTCACAGATGGCCACATGAGGTCAACTGAATCGTTAACTTTGGGACCCTTAACAAAAAACAGTGAAGGTCTCAAGCTCAAGGATATTTTGAGTTTTTTTCACATCGTTCTTTTGTGCCCACACCTGTGGGGGATTTGTTGGCCAAAATGGTTGGCACTCATGATAAAAAGAAAGTGAAGGTCTCATATTTATGGCTAAGGATATATTCAGTTTTTCACATAGTTCTTTTGTAAGTGAGATATAAAATCTTTATCAAGAGTTTGTTCTGCTTTTGCAAAGCCATAGAAGGGAAATATAGACGTTACACGTTAGAAGAAAAAAAACTACACCAAAAAGCATGAACAAAAGATGATATACAATTAGGAAATTATAGATGCTCATTTTTGGCACAATTTCTAAAGGTAATTATCAAAACATATGGATGAAATTAGCTATGATGTTTTGTGCATATGTAGAAGCTGCACCATACTATTCATAAGTGAAACAATAGATTCCCATAGAGGTACCATTACTAAAAAAGATAGGAAAAAGGGTCAAATAGACCTTTCTACTATATCAAATAAATCACTTCACCCCTTCTACTCTAAAAAGCATCACATAAACACATTTACTATTAGAAAAACATCAATTGGACCATGTTACCGGATGACAACTCCTCATAGGAGGTCATTGGTTGATCTCACGTATATTTTCAATTATTAATTTGCTTTTGTCCATTTTTTTTGTTTCATGTGTTATACGGTAGGTAGTTCAGACTTCGTATATATGAAATTACGTAGTAATAGGTACTTATTTTGATTTTCCATTTTCCAACCTCCTGCTAACTTTCTCTCTTTCATCCTTTTTTTTCTTTTGATTTTCTTTCTTTTTATTTCTTTATCTCTCACTAAAATGTACATATTCCTCTCCCCTTTTTTATTTTACTTCTCTTTTTTAAATACAAGAAATCTTAGAAGGAGGTCTAAAATTATTTTTCTATTTAAATTTATGACTTTTCAATAATACGATAGTATATACTTCACTCGTATTCTTTTGTATGATACACTTTTCTTGAGAAGTATTTTTATTTGGTATACTTTTCTATTTTTGGTAAATTTTCCCATTAAAAATACTAATCTACCTTAATTTTTCTACTTTTCAATTCTCTTTCATATGTTATTCAAAAATATTCTCTTTCATATTTTTCCCCTTTCTCCATACTATTTCTACACTATTCATTACTCTTACTACTTTTTTCTTAAATATTGTGTCAAATCCTATTATAGCGAATAATAGAATACGGAGGGAATATATATCATTTTTATATAAACATATTTAAATTCTAGAATTTTTTTACTCATTTTTCTCAAATCTTTCACCAATTCAATTCAAATTGAATTGAGTTTTTATTAGCTTAGAGCTCATTCAGAATATGAATTCAAGAATCACTGCACCGTTACTTAGGTAAAATATTCTTAGGAAGCAATATACTTGTGTTCAGTTTGACCTAAAATATTTTTAAAAAGAGAAGTTGCACTTTAAGATCCTTAATTATTGTCCATATCAAATGTAGTCAGTCGTCCCCGTGTATTCAATTTATAGATGTTATCCACAGTTGTTAAAATTTAAGTACATGCATGTGGTCTTCGTTATTAAAATTGAACTAACACTGTTAGTCTTTTGTAAAGTTGACACGGTTAAGATTGCAGCTTTAGACATCGTAAACAATTACACACTAATTTTACACATTTTTAAATGGGAAAAGGGTCAATAGGCCCTCGAACTAACTTAAAAAGTGCAAATCATCCCTTATATAGGAGGCTCTGTCCGGACGTGACCTATTGGGGCGGTTTCCGGTGGAATTTTTTGATGAAATTTTTTGAGCATCTTCTTCATTAAGTCTAGTTTACTCATACCAAATTTCAGCTAAAAATTCAATCGGGAAGGCAGTCAAATGAATTTCTGAAGATAAATGCGCAGTTAAACGGCGCAGTACATTTCAGAAATTCATTTGACTGTCTTCCCGGTTGAATTTTTATCTGAAATTTGGTATGGGTAAACTAGACTTAATGAAGAAGATGATCAAAAAAATTCATCAAAAAATTCCACCGGAAACCGCCCCAAATGGTGAAGGCCGGACATAGCCTCCTATATAAGGGGTGATTTGCAATTTTTAAGTTAGTTCGAGGCCTATTTGACCCTGTTCCCTTTTTAAATCCTTCACATCAACAAGTTTTTCTCTAAAGTAAGGACAAAGGAAAAAAATATCGAACATAAAAATTAAATTTTATCGACAATTATAATCGGATATTCACAAAAGTATTTCAGATTAGATAAAAATAATGGTATACTTTTTATTCACATGTTCAAAATCATTTGCACAAAATGATTTTGTGCATAGACAAAAATAATTGTATACTTGTGCCTATAAATTAATCCGTACACAAAAAATGTCGGTCAGATACATCCAATCGTATAGATGACTCATGTATGACATAGGTAAAAAACGGTTAAGATAAAAATAAGTAAAAATATACTAGAATTTAAAGATGTTTATATGAACATAGATGTACTTCCTTCGTATTCAATTGTTTTCTTCAATGGAGTTTTACACGATATTTAAGAGAAAAATTGAAAGAGTAATGAATAGTGTATAAAAAGCAGGATAGATGGTGGAAAATATGAAAGATAATATGAAAAATGAAAAAGTAAGAATAATTTATTAATTTCTAAGGAAAACTTATCAAAAAAAGAAAGTGTAGCGAACAAAAAAGTAATTTCCATAAAAAGAAGTATCAAACAAAAGAATATGGAACAAATATGTATTAATGAAGCTTCATAAAAATACAAAAAGAATTTTAGATGTCCTAAGATTTCTTAGATTAAAAAATAGAAGTAAAGTAAAAGGGGAAGAGAAATTTGTACTCCGTAGATTTGGAAGACAAAAAAATAAAAATAAAGTAAAGGAAAAGAAAAGAACAAAAATGAAGGAAGAGAGAAAGCTAGTCTGGGAAGTAGGAACTATGTATATACGTACGGACTACGGGTATGAAGTACTCCATATTGTATAAAACCGAAATAAAAAAGGAAAATGTAAAAAAAATGAAAAACATGTGTCAAATCATCCAATGACCTGCTATAAGGAGTTGCAATCCGGTAACTTGACCTAATTGATGCTTTTTTAGTAGTAAGTGTATTTAGGATGTTTTTACTTGGACTGTAATTTGCTGGTCTGATCTGGTCTGGTTTCTTTGTATTTTTCTAACTATCCAAGTCTGGTCTGGTCTGAACTTGTCTGGTTTGGTCTGGGAGGAATTACGGTCCAAGTAAAAACATCCTTAGTTGACACTTTTTTTAGTACAAGGGTTGAAGTGATGTATTAGAGGGTGAATTTGACCCTTTATCCAAAAAAAATAATACAAGAACATAAGAAGTTAAGTTATGCGTGTGTAAATATACACTTACCTTTTAAACATGGATAGATTTCTATACAAAGGTGCATATAAACCAGGTGCATCATGTACCAGAGGTGCATCCTCAATCAGAGCTCTTGCATGTAACATGTCATGATCTCTTGGTGAAGACCACTGTGGTTTCTAGCTCCACCAAAAAGTAATAATAATAATAATAAAGAGGGTGACAAAGTAAAACGCATAGCGGATGACTAGAGGCAATTTAAATCACTTTATTCATACCACTGAGTGGAAAGAAGAGAGACTTTTTTGTAGCATAACATTCATTTCAGCTATTGACAACACAGCTGGATCTTTCTTACTTTCAGGCATAGAAGGAGACATATCTTTCACATCTGGGATACTCATAACGGGAGAATGGTAGTTAAGAGAAGTATTTTTTATCAGATCTATGTTTCCAACAGGAGATGCTGCAGGAGACCATGAATTTACATGCACATAAGCGGGTGGCGGAGCCACAACATAGGACTTCATGTCATTTTTCTCCAACCAAGGATCATTAACTCCATTGTTGCTCACTTTTGAAGATACATTTTCAGACCTCATCATGTCTGATCCCCTTGACATATCGAGAGACCTTGAATTTACATCGGGCGGCTGAGACAAACCAGAGGAACTAGTGTCACTTTTCTCCATCCAAAGACCATTATACCCTACATTGTTGCTCTCTTTTGAAGATATATTTTCAGATCTCATCATCTCTGGTCCCCCAGACATATCATTATTCCTTTCTTCTGAATTTAGTGCCTCTGAACCATCGTTACTTATATCCAGCAATTCACTCTTGGGGTGACTACCATCTGAGGAATCATCGTTAATATCCCCATCCTTTCCTATTGAACTTCCCATTTGGAAGCTTCCATGTGATGACCATGCTACTTTACCTTTGGTGGATGAAGAAGAGAACAAAGAAGGCAAATAACCATATGGATGGTTGAAAATCTGAATCATTATAAGCATGGAGAAGACCAATGCAGAAATCCATAAAAGTCTTCTACTCTCCAATACACCCATCCTGGTTTTCCTAGAAAAATATTGCAGTTTCATCATACAATGTTTTTCTTACTTTTCGCATAAAGCTGGTTTGAATGCAACTAATTTGTAGTCAACATAGTGCAGCAAATCTTCAAATCCATATAAGTGATCAATGTTGTAAAAGGCGGACGACAGATTGTCAGATAATACAGGGCCTAAGTGGGATCAGGCAGATATGCAAGGGTAGGTGGGGTCACTTTGGGGGAAATCCCAGGCAGGCAGGCATCACCGATTCACCAATAAAACTCAATGCAAAAGCTAAACTGTGTACGCAACCAATCAAGAACGTTTTTTTAATTAAATTGATACAAGGCCAATAACATAAAAGAGCTCGAGTCAGATTCACAAGTCTCAACATTGAACCTGACTATGAGGTCAGGAAGTCCATCTCCTATAGGGTGGATGATGTGTACGTGAATTTCTGATTTGAGATGCTTTAACCTAAGTAATCCAATTGCTACTCAGTGGCCACTCGGTCGAGGCCTCGAGGGTCGAGTAACAATTAGGACCAACTACTTGAGATTACTCAGCCCTGTATTAATTAAACTTAAAAAGATAACAACAAACAAGAACAACAACATTACCACAGTGCCGCAAAGGCTCCCACCTACGGCGGGGTGAAGGGGATCAGATGTACGCAGCCCTACCCATGTACTAAAGCACAAAGAGACTATTTTCGAATGACCCATTATGAAAATCATGTCGAAAACTACATGGACTGGTTGTTGCTTCATAACAATTAACAAAGAAGCGCAAACAATTTAATGAGTCATTTTGCTTTATTCAATCATATTCTCAAGCCAAAAAATACTGAGCCTTTGGATTCATTGGAAGTGATGGAAAAATAAATGCTCCAAAATTCTAGTAATATGTTTGTCTTTAAATTCTTAAATATGAATAAAATAATAATCCTAATTATGAAGTAACACCGGATCCCAACAATCATAAACATTCTAACTTCCTAGAAAATCAATCACCTAAGTCCTAACAATACTTGATTTTGAACTTTTGTCCTAAAGACGTAAACTAATCTTCATTGGGTTTAAGGTTATCATTTTCTTCTTCACCCACCATGTCCCTAAACATAAACTGACTTTGTAATACCTACTAGTTATTAAAATACCTACTAATTATTCACAAGTTCCATAATATCTCAACTTACTTTAAACTTTTCCAATTTAACCACAAAAAATCAATTTTATTGGTTATTGAGTAGCTCGGCGAGTCAAACTTGTCACCGAGTAATGAAAAGCCCCGAGTACTCAGGGAGTTACTCGAAAAAATGGAACAGTGCGACTCGGAGTACTAATCGGCAAGTCCCTACCCGTATAGCGAGTACTCGGCTAGTACTCACATCAAAATTAATCATGAGGAAGCAAATGCAATAGCTAAGTTGAATGTTGAGCAAAAATTAGAAGCACCAATAAAACCCAAGAATCATGTACATTAGCTACTGAATATGTATATACTTGAGAAACAGTGATGAATAATAAATCCAAAACTAACAAACATTAAAAGCCATACAGAATTAGAAGCCAGTAAGTAAGAATAAGTCAATAACGAGCTTTTTTCAATTATAAACTAATAATCTCCTGCATCACATCAAGTATTCCCCTTGTCCCAGCTTAAACTTCTGACGTGCCACTTTTGGATGTCCCAATTAAAGATTCTCCTTTCTATTTCAGGAAATACTTAGGACTACCATTATTTAAATATTGTCTACCATTTTTGAATAAGAAGCTGCTTAAGTCAGGGCAGAGGTAATATTAATTTAGGCAGCGCATTTAGTTTTTGGGTTGGACAGGAATTACAACTAGATTGGCTGAGAAAAAATGAGCTTTCCCCACACAACAACCCCTGTCTGACTATCAAATCCATAATCCATTCATATATATGTAGGTCAGTAGATTCAGACATGCATGTGCATACCTGTAGAATCTTCTCAGAAATGAGATGCCTGAAAGAGGTTTGAGGTAGCAGCCATGGCTGAAGTGAAGCCCCGAACTAGCGGATATTATTTCGGAATAGCCCGGCGACCATAGCCACTATATATTTTGATTATTTTCTCCCATCATAGCTGCCTGATTAGTTTACTTTCAACCACACTTCATTTCATAAGTAACACGTAAACAAAATTCTCTTAGGCTTTTCTAGAAATTCCGCTAAAAATTTTCATTTTTCATATTAAATTTGATGAAATTTGTATGATTTTAAATTATTTTAATCTTAATTTATTAATTCAATATCAACAACCTAAACTCATTTTTCTTAATAATGATGTCACCCTCTAATGTTTCAATGTTAGTGGAATGGGTAGTAACTTTTTTATATTTATTTTTTTATTAAGAAAAGTTGATAATAATAATTCCATCCTTCAACGAGTTTCTTATAATAATCCCTATATATACATAATTTTAGAATAATCTTACTTTTGCACCACATCTTCTTTCGTTGGTTTACAACTGGTTGATGACTTGTTATAACAGTTTTTTTTTGTTCTCTTGGAAACATTACATAAATAATTTCTGCAACCTTCTCAAAACAATCTCATGTTCAATTTTTTTTCTCTAGACATTTTTTTATTCAGTTTTGTCTATTTGTTTGGATTTCTTTTCCATATTTATGTATTCTATCCAATCTATTATGCTAATAATAAGGTACCCTGAAAAAGAAAGTTTCAAAAATTTCTTGAATTACTTCAAGAAAATTTCTATAAGCATCTCTTTTGCTAATGCCGTTGTGGAAATTACTTCATATAAAAAATCTTAAAAGATCCATATCAAAGAAAAGATTTGAAGAGGTAGCTTTTATTAACATCAATGAAGAAATTAGCTCAAGAATTCAAAAGAAGCTACCCTCTAAAAACAAGGACTCCTCAAGTATTACAATCTCTTGTGTTATTGAGATTTTCTTCTTCCTTTATTTTTATTTCATTTCTCTTTTTATGTATTTCTCTTCTTAATCATTCTCTTTAAATAAAAGTTCTTTTCTCACTCTACTTTTGTTATTTACTAGATTTTCACCGGTGTGATGCACGAGTCATATTTTCGTTTAGTTATATGATATTATTTATTAGCTTTATTAGGGATGTGTGGATGATTTTTTTTTACACATGTAAAAATAAAAAATAAAACATAAATATAAAGGTAAGTATATTAAACACTCATAATTGGTATGATTTATATATTAGGATACAAAGGGAAAAAAAAAACATATAATAAGATTTAGAAACGCTTTTGTAAGCATTGGAAACATATATAAAATCGACAAATACTAAACATTTCGAAAGACTTCTTTGTAAACAACATTTGTAGTACGGTCAGTCTTTTCCCCATCTTCACTGCAAATCAATATCTTCAAACCCTTACGGTTTGTCGCTCTAGATACTGTCACATACAATTGACCATGCGTAAAGACTGGTTTCTTTAATAAGAGGCCAACATGGGTCAAAGATTGCCCTTGACTCTTGTTTATTGTCATCGCATAAGAAGTCATTACTGGAAATTGCCTTCTTTGAAACTTGAACGGTATTCTTGCATCTGATGGAGTTAAAGTTAACCTTGGAATGACAACTTCTGGGCCAGTATATTTTCCGCCTAAAATTCTTGCTTCAAGGATGTGATTTCCAAGTCGGGTAACAATCAACCTTGTTCCATTGCATAGCCCCATTGAAGGATCAATATTTCTTAAAAGCATTATTGGAGTACCAACCTTGAGGATTAACTCATGGTTAGGAACTCCGGATGCACGTATTTTGTTGAGAAATTCAGGAGTATGCAAATCTCTTAAAAAATTTGTGTTGGAGTCTTGCTTGCAAATGCTATCTGAACTTAAATATGTCTTTGACTCTTCGTTGATAATCAAACAGGTCATGTATTCATTAATGGCATCGACCACATCCAGAGTTGGAGCCAAGATTGCACACTCTTGCAAATACGTTGGGTCGTTTGCAATATTCTCAAAGTCCGGATAGGTGCTTTTTACAACTGTAGCAATGGGATCATCTCCGCACTCTAACAAAATGTCGCTTGGAATTTTAACATCGGCAAACCCATCATTATCTTGACCTTCAGCACCATCCCCTAAGCTAGCAATCCACCTGGCAAACTCTACCAAATCTTCATATTCGCGATCGTCACTCAAGGATTGCAATCTCATGTTCCTCGTTAGACGTAATACAATGCACTCGTGCCAAAGATATGAAGAATTGATCATTGCATTAACTATGTCTTGCCTGCGACCTTTTGAGATGACCGGTAAAATCTGCCTAAAGTCTCATCCGAATACAATAGTTTTCCCTCCGAAAGGTTTGTCTTCACTAAAGGAATTAATGAATCTAAGGATGTCTCTCATAGTTCTGTCTAAAGCTTCAAAATAGTACTTATGCATCATTGGAGCCTCGTCCCATATAATAAGCTTGCATCGAATTATCAACTGGGCTAGTAGACTCCCTTGTTTTATGTTGCAAGTTGAGTTCTCATTAGGATTGATTGGAATAGCAAAACGTGAATGCGTCGTCCTTCCACCAGGTAAAAGTAACGCTGCAATACCGCTTGAAGCAACGTTCAAAACAATTTCCCCTTTTGATCTTAATGCAGCAGACAATGTTTTCCACACAAATGTTTTCCCAGTTCCCCCGTAACCACAAACGAAGAATACTCCACCTTTGCTTGATTCAACAGATTGCATAATAGTTGTATATACCTCACGTGTTGATCATTGAGAGCGTTTATGCACTTCTTAATCATTCTCTTTAAATAAAAGTTCTTTTCCCACTCTACTTTTGTTATTTATTCACCCCCCCCCCCCCCCCCCCTCTTGTTACTTGTTTGTGCTTTTTCTTCTTTTATTTCTTTTTGTTACCTTAATTTCACCATCAATATATTTTTTTCCTTTCTGGATCATTGTATTTTGCTCGATATGTCCACCCATTAATTTCATCAACTACGGGATTTTTGGTTGTGAAATAAAGAATTAGGGGAAATTTAAATATAAAGAAAAATAAGACAAGCAAGAAAAGGTAAGGAAGAAAACAATTATGTAGAGTTGTACACTCTGTACACAAAAGAGATAAATGAGAGAGAAATTGGCTGAAAAGGGGGAAAATAAGAAAAAATTTAGGAATTTTATCAATCTGGGACCTGGAAGATAGACAAATTATCAATTCGGGACCTGAAAGAAGAAATGTATTAGTATAAGACTCGAAAGATGAAAAACTATCAATCTAGGACCTAACATTTCATAGGTTTTAATTTATTTAATTTTTTATTAAATCCATTGCTAATATTTGGTGAAATTTTTTTCACAAAAGTTTATTAGTTTAATAAAACTAAATACGGAGTATTATTTAATTTTTTAAAAATAAAAAAAAATGATAAAATTTATGAAAACTTAGGTCCTAAATTGATAGTTTTAAATCATTCGGGTCTTACATTGATAGTTTTCCATCATTCGGGTCCTATACCGATACATTTCATATTTTAGGTCCCGAATTGATAGTTCGTCTATCTTTTAGAGCTCAGGTTGATAAAATTCCAATAATTTGGAACAACGTTCACGGGTCACTAACATATACTACGTAAAAAACTAGCAGAAAGGGATACAGTGAAATGGGACAAAGATAAAAACAATGACTTCCAAGGATGTTTTAGTTGGATTGAAATTTTCTGGTATGGCCTAGTCGGATTTATTTAAGTCTCGTCTGATCTAGTAGATGTCTCGTCTATGTGTGTTTTATAACTTTCAGAGTCATGTATGATTTGGTTTGATATGTTTAAATCCGATTTGGTCTAGTATGAGACTGAAAACAATACAAGTAAAACATAGGGCAAAAAGGGAGAAAAAAGGATAACAAACAGAAAAGAAAAATTATTATAAAAATAAATAAGATATAAGATAATATAGTGCGAAATGAAGATATTTAAAAGAGAATTAACCAAATAGCATTACATAAAAGGGGAATAGAGTAAAAAATGAGAATACGAAGAAGAAAGAAGAACACTATTGAGGAGAAATTCTACAAAAAAAAAGTTTTTTCTAATAAGGCGAAAAAGAAATACATAAACTAGTACTACCTCCGTCCCAAAAAACTTTGTCATTTTCAAAATTTTGACCGACTATATATTTTTATTGAAAATTATTTATGATATAAAAATTATATGAAAATGTTTTTTGTTAAAAGTACTTTCATAAAAGTATGAAATTTATAATTTCCATAATATTATACTAGTCAAAATCAATGTTCAAATTTTTTGAAATGGCAAATTTTTCTGAGACGGATGTAGTATAAAATAAATAAAATAATAAGAAGATGAAAAAGGGAAGGAAAAGTGCTGAAATGATAATAAAAAAAGGTGAAAATTCTAGCGAGAAAAGGGGGGAAATGAAATATTGGAGTTTTTTAGAAATCGGTGAAAAGTGGGAATTGTTAGTGTTCTTTCGTCCCAAATTTATCTTTCTTAGTGAAGACGGTCACAAGTAGTATCATATAACAAAATCTGACTTTATTTAGTGACTAGTTTTCCAACGCGCAACGAGATAGTGCACAATAAAATAAAGTTGTTTGAATTCTAGAACACTTTGACACCGTTTTGTAAATTTTGAAACTCAAACCATATTTTGAACCCATAATTATATAATTGACCATTTCTGTCGACAAAAAATTATCTTACTAGCTTGAGTGTTTGTTTCTTTTGATTTCTACTGAAATTTATGAAGTTTTGGTTAAACTGGCTAGATTTGTTTATTCTCTTGAATTATGAAAAAATGATAAAAAAATTATTCCATTAATGAAATAAAAAAATGTATATGAAAAAATTACTGAAAAGGACCTCTGCTATATTAACTTCGGCCAATTGTGTCAGAAAAGTAGCTCTGGCCTTATTTATTTTGATTATTAACTTTGTATGAAATCAAAAGTTACGTGTTTGGTGAAAAGGCAAATTAATAAGACTGATAAAACGAAAAACATGATCACTAAAATTTTATACTCCGTAACTTATAAGGGTTACAAGTATCATTGAAACGAACAAAATAAATGCATAATGTTTACCACAAGTAATACAAAGCTAGCTAAAGTGTTAAAGAATGCAAATTGATTATAAGTTACCAAAGTGTTAAAGTTTGAGATTGAGCTGAGTTGCCCAACTTAGCCGTTAAGCACAATGACCCACAGTAAACAGTTATACATGTATAAGACCGTAAGTCCAAGTAGCTCTATTTAATTCAAGGCTCAAAAGATAATCAACACATATATCGTATTCGAGTCTTAAAACATATTATCATTTACAATTATTTCACACAATCACACTTCTTCATTTCCATGTAATAAATAATCTCTCCATTCTTTTTTAGTTGCAACATTTTACTTTTTGGAAAGTTTTAAAATAATTGCAACCCTTCTAATTTAGGACATAAAAGTGTATCAATGGTCTTTAATACCCTCACTAATTCACACTCACCGCCTCTCCTATCTGATTCATTCCTTTCTTTTAATTCCACCCACTCCTTTTGTCTCTTTATTATCCACCCACTGTTCCTTTCTTCGACCGGCAACCCTTGCAGCAGCGGTCCTGGAGAGCAGATTGCAGCGGTCCAGACAACGGTGGTTCAAATCCACATCCTCCGGTGACGACGGTAACTTGATCCATCCGGCGTTTGTTCCCCCTCGGTGCAGCGGCGGCAGCACGTACACTCTCTTCCGGCGAGGCGGCGGAACCTCCATAGGATCTCCAATCCCTTTCTTTATTTCTTCAGGAAAGAAGGGAGGCTGAACGTTCAACAACAATTATAGAAGGGTGGAGGCTTGAGGAATGAGGATGAAGCTCTCTGATTAGCTCTTCCGACGAGACATGCAATATTTGCACTGTAGCTGTTTATACTCTTGTACTTTTTGTAAAATATTTGCTTTGTGGACATTAAGATTTTTATGAGGTCTTCAAAAGTTATGTTGCATCTAAATAATTTGTGTGCCTTGAAGGTCTGTTGCTAACAAGATTTATCTATTCATCGGAGAAATCTTGATCACAAAGTTATTATTTTATTATTCTATGTTAAAGTCAAACTTAATCAAGTTTTATGAGACGAAAGGATATGCCAAAACAAAAACAAAATACAGCCAAATTGCATAATCACATACTTTAAAGTCATATATGGACTATTATCCACACAATAATTGACTGACATGGAATATAATTGACCTGACAAACTTTAAAATATACGTAGTACTACTTCTAGTATATTTCATTAGCTATTTATAGAAATCTCATAATAGTTTCGCATCCAATAGTTATTTATTGAAAATAACATTACTTTAATATTGGGCAAACAATCTCGCGCCTTGCACGGGTAAATGCTAGTATAACTATAACTAATATAAATGGGTTTTATTTTAAGCAATACTTGGCACTTTTTATGGAAATTAACACATATTCATATAGCTCAACTCATGGGAAACAACATAATGGACTTCAACTTCAACTCGTGGCAGGGTAAGTCGTCTGGGGGCAGCCCTAGCAACCACCATATCATCACCCGACTTGGCATCATCGAAACCATCATCGAAATGGTTGTTATTGGCCACAACCTTCGTAGCAATACTGGCCATGGTACCCGCTTTATTATCAACAACAGTACTAGTCGCATCTCCCCGAACCGTCTGGTTGACAATTGGGTCTGAATGAGATGAACTAGAAGATCTAGAAGATGAACCCTCAGACATTTTGCCTAACGAAGAATCAAATTTGAAGAGAAAGGAAAAGATCCCAAAATTATCTGAACAAACTCGGAATTAGAGTTTTTCTAGAGAGAAGCCACAACAAGCTAGAGAGAGGAGCAAAGTTCGGAAACCCAGAATCAATGACCTAAGGGACTTATTTACAGGCTTAAGCGTCGATTCACCGACCAAAGAAAAAAGGACACGTAGCTGGGAGCCTGGGAGCGGTTCTGGCGACACGTGTCAAACGGAGATGGAACGTCAGGTAATCATGACATTGCCTAGAGAACCCAACCAACAGCCGCAAAGAACGGTCAAATCCCTGCATCGGGAATATGCGAAGCTCGACTTGAACGGGCTGTGTAAAATGGCGAGGGAGCAGCTTTTCTACTCCCTCATGTCCCAAGCACGCTCGGAACATCGGAAGTGAGGGACTTATGTTGGGGGACTTAGGGTCTGACCCAATAATCCGACCCAAAATATCCCGGAGGCCCATAAGAAGTAGCAGAGCCCAACAAATACCGGATGGAACAGTTGACTCCCGAACGGGCTGTGACCAAATGGACGCATCCCGCTCGGCTATTCCCGAACGGGTTGAATATAATACTTGTTGTCATGGAACGTCATTCATAACTGCAAATTAGATTAACCCGAATAACTGATCGAGATGCCTTGCAAGTGGCAAAGGGCGCATTTAATGCTAGAGTATGAGCATCAAGTGGCAAGTATGGGTGATCAATTGGCGGAGAGGTCCTCCACTCAGGGATAGCCATGTCATCTATCTCACTTAATCACTCTTAGTATAAATAACATCATTTATTCCATTGTAAAGGGTTATCATTTTGATACTCACTAGTTATGTACATCACTCAAACTCTTGTACTAGCAACTGGACCGTAACTCCTGTTCGGCCATTTCCATGTAATCATCATAATTACACTAATACAGTTGGGCTATTGAATCATTACATTAGTGGATTTCTTTTCTGATTTCCTTTTCTTAAGAAGCATTTTGATTGATATTCAAAGAGCTGTGCTGGGCCTTTGGATCCAGTCGAATTAACCTCAACAATACGATACAATTAAATAAAATACGGCTAATTATGTGTTTCTTACGTTCGTGAAATGGATAAAGATACGAACGTGTTTTAAACGTTTCGCAATTTAAAAATACGTCATAGTACGTATCTTATATAGTAATTTTATGATAGAAATAAAGAGTAATTTAACATATGCCCCACATTTTCAACATTTTAAAATGTACGAAATAGTTTTTTCTGACATAGGAATTTGAATTCATACGTACAATAAGTAATAAAAATGTGATTACCTATTTGAGTAGACATAGAGAGATATTACCAGAAAATAGTTGATATTACTGTGGTTGTAAGTTTGGTGAGCCGCCACAATATTATGTTCTCTTTGCAGTGTTGGTAAGGGTGGAGGACAAGAGTCATACAATAGTAATATCAAAATAGATTATGACTTTAATAAATAATATTGAGCAGCTAGACATTTCGCTTAAGTTGTATGTACCACTCTATTAGGCTTCAATCTAATAATGTGTCTTTTTTGAATAAAATACGTATCAATACGTACGGTACGTGTATTATACATTTTATTCTTATAGTACGTGAATTTTTCAGAATTTTCTGAAAAATTCATAATCGGTAATATTATACGTGAATTATACGCTTGAGTGTACTATACGTGAATCATACGTGAATAAACTAACAAAGAAGGGGGATATCATGTGGTTTGGTTGAATTTGGTTTATGGGTGCAAGGAAGACACTTACGTTCCTAAGCGAGTGTGATTGTAATACTCAAGATTAGCTTAAAAGAATTATTAATATTACTCATATTAACAAGGTGCATCTCCTTTTATAAGGGAACTCATATGTTAAGAATTCAAAGTTAAAAGTGCTTGCATGAGAATAGCCTTGAGATAGATGATCCTTCAGAAGTTTCTGGGGTGCGCACGAGCGGATCCAATTACAGTAACTGTAACTGGACAATTCAGGTAACTGTAATTGATAAAAAGATAATCGTAATTGATTGAGTCACATAACAATAACTAGATGAGTTAAGTTACTATAAAAGTCATTAACCGGGCCAAATAAAAAATAGTCTGAATTTTGTGAATTAGTTTTCATTTAGAAATATTAATAATGGCAAAACACCTTATCTTTATGTTTATTTATTTATTTATTTATATTTCATATCATAAATAAATTAGCATAATATTAAGGTAGATTCTAAGGTACCCATAAGGTACCATAACTTTGTCCACATGGACTAATGAGAATGTACCAGTTGAATTATTTAAATTTAAATTAAAAATGATAAAGTGATGTGGTCCAATGAAATGAATGATAGATACGATATCCCATTTTTTAGAAAGGTACGGGAGTGGCGGAGTTGTCACCTAATATTAAATCGTTTGGATCAAATGATCAATTATTCTTAATTAAACCGACCAAATCGGACATAACCCGGCCAAACCAAAAACTCATATCAGCTTAAACCCTAAGTTAAACCCCGAACTCACAAGCATTTCCCAGACAGAGCGCGCCAGGGTGCGAGGGGTATGGAGATTGACAGAGCTGATGGCCGAACGGCGAACCAGCTCAGACAGCTGGCTTGCTCCCGTGGCATCCTCAACCGCGCCCATGGCTCCGCCAGTTGGTCCCAAGGTATAGTCCTCCACTTCTAAGATTAGTTCTACTTAACCCCAAATGATTTCTATGTATTGGTAAATGGCAATTGTTGAATTTGCGAACTAAATTTTAGGGCGTCTGCCAAATTTCTTATTTGTATGATTTCTATGTATTTGTAAATGGCCATTGGTGTTTTTATTATAGTTTTTCTTAAGTTGGAATTGATTAGTGGAATCGATTTGCAATGCCTTAGGAGAGACGCAAGTTCTGGCTGCAGTGTATGGGCCCAAGGCCGGGACAAAAAAGAACGAAAACCCAGAAAAGGCGTGCATTGAAGTCATCTGGAAACCGAAAACAGGGCAGATAGGTGGGCATACTGAAACTCTCAAACGCCTTCTTTTTGTTGTTGTTTCAATGCAGTTTTTGACTGTCAGATTTACTAGCTCCAGCCTCCAGCTGTCCACTGTCCAGCACAATTTTCAGATAAAAAGGAATAATGTAGAAAAAAGTGAAAAATTAGTTTGAAGGTGAATGGTCTAGAAAAAGTGGGATGTAAACGAGCTTATAGGAAACATAGGAAAGAGAAATGAAAAAGTAAAGATAGTTTTTTAAAGTAAAGATATTTATGTCTTTTGATGGGATGATAACTATCAAATAGATTGTCGAGCAAGTAAATATGAACTTCTACAAAAAGTGAATCATAATGGCAATATGACTTAGTATCAGTTAATAAAGGTGTATATACATTCTAAGCATACACTGGAAATTTGCGTTCATGTTGATATTTCTATTTGTAATACATAGGTGTAAGTATTTTTGTCCTATAGTTAAGCGTTGAATAAGACATGTTCATATATAGGGAAGCAGGAAAAAGAGAATGAGATGATAGTGAAGAGGACAGTGCAGAGCATTTGCCTTTTGAGTGTTCATCCAAATACTACAACATCAGTTATCATTCAGGTGAGCTCTTATATAACTGAAGTGGAAATCAATGCCATTTGCACCTTAGCTGCCCCATGCTGGTATTATTGATGATGATTGTTCACCTATTATTTGAAGATCTTATGATTTTTGCTGTATGTTCTACTACCTTAATTCTGCACACCAAAGAAGGAGAGAATAAATCTTATTTTTTTGTTATGTCAGCCATATGCTTATGACAATGTTTTGTTCAACATCCACTTTATCTTTGGCTTCTGATGCAGGTTGTTAATGATGATGGAGCAGTATCCTTAGTGATCAAAGCATTCTACAGGAATTTCATGGCTCTTTTTTGTTCTATAAGTCATTATAAGCATAGGAACAACATAATGATTGATGTGCATAGTTGCAAAGCAGCACCATTCCAATAGCTATGAGTCTCTTTAAAAACCATGGGTGTAATTTGTTAGGGACCTCAACAACGCAGCAGAAATTTAGAATGATATTGATAAAAATCTCAGAAGACAGTAAGCTATTACAATGGTAGAAACCAGTGATCAACGTAAACTGAAAATAGAAGAATTTGAGACACTTCGAGTAGTCTCCCACTCCCAGCCTAATTCCAGATCCAAGTTCTGCCTAACTTCATGTTAGAGTCATAACCTTTGTTTCTATAAAGTGTCACACTCCTGAGGTCAAGAGATATTGGAGCACATTCTGTTTGAGGCTCATGGTTGAAAAAGAAAAGATTTGTATGAGTCTATTCACCTCCCTCTAGACTTCTACCTCACATGGGACCATCACTTCATTCCTTCCCTCCTTCCCACTCTTATAGTACTTATATTCTAACGGGCCAGCCCATATTTTATGACATGGCCCAGAATTCTTATTTATACAATACCATACTTATTTAATATCAATCTATAACTGCTACTATTATTCTCTACGGCCCAGGGCCCTATCATATCTCCCCCCTAACAACCACCTTGTCCTCAAGGTGGGTGATAGGACACATCCTTGATCTTGAACTTCATCTTCATCCTGGAGCCTCTTCGTTCCCAATACCTCCCGGATTTCTAAACCATAAGTTTCTGTACTTCCTCCTTCCACCTCATAAACGTTTCTGCAGCCAAAGATAAGTCTAGTGCAGTTTTAGTCTCTTCAGTGGCTATCAAGCACTCAATAACGGCAAATGTTTCTTTGTTCTGTGCTTCTCCATCTGCAGCAGTTATCTGTTTTGTTATTGCTGCAGCCAGTCCTTCCAGCAGATCCACATGAGTGATTTGTCATTATAGATGATAATTTCTCTCAATAGTCTCCTCACATCAGGACTTGGTTCTGCCAAAAGCCTTCCAATCACACATGGATATGCACTCTCCACCACTTTGAATTCAGGATCCCCTTCTTTTGTAGTTCTTTCTAGTAATCCTAAAGCTTGTATCACCACTGCAGAGTCATGAGGAAGCGAGAAGTTGAACTCGTACATAACATCATATAACTGATTTATAGCCTGGACATCCTGGGATTGTCTACTTCCATCACCAAAGGATTGTACGACAGTTCTTTCAGGAATGAAACCGAGAGAGAGAAAAATTCATTTGCTGAACTCCTTGAAATTGTAGCCTCAAAATCTCCAGCTGCCACCCTTTTCAAATAAACTTGAAGCATGAGAGCTTTCAACTCATTATCTTCTAGCCATTTTAACTTCTGAAATAAGCTAACTTCCTTCCTAATTGTCAACAACTCCTTCCCTGTTCCGAGGTGTTCACTCACGTTCACCTGAAGGGCATCCCATCGCCTCACACCATATAGGTTTTGCATGGACTCGAGTCTCGACAGCCCCTTTTTCTATCTCTGAGAATGCTCTTCTTTTAATAAGAGGTGTTCGCGCGTTAACTGGCAGCTCATGGGCGGCACATATCCAGCTCCATACTCAATAGGTGGATGGTTAGAACTTCCCAACTTAAAAAGTACAGTAAACACATTAGAAATTTCAGAATGAGCTGTGACTTTCCCTCCTACCAGCATTGTCCATGAGACATTCGGAATACATGCTCCAAACACTTCACAGATGGTCATCAGAGACTCAACAAGTTGAAGATCATTGCCATCAAGAGAAAGTAACTGGACACAGTCTACTGGTGGTATGCCAACTAGCAGGATATTCAGCATTGATGCATAACAGCTCGACTGATCTCTTTTCCAGAATACTCTGTAGAAACTGGTGGAGACCGCAGCGTAGTAATGCAGTAGGAAGTGTGTTCCTCTTCAACGACGTTCAGTCTTCCATCTGCTTTCCCATTAGCTAAGAGCTGTTGAATCCCGCCATGATGATTCCGGTACGTAACATCACCACCAAAGTATTGATTATAATCCACACTAGGACAACCATGGACCTCTAATTCTTCTGTGATATGATAATGGTGCAGTATCTTTTCTGTGACAATAGTGTTAGCTACTTTCATATGTTCAGAAATATAACCTTGATCATAGCGCAAACTATCAAACCCCGCAGAGGAATTATTCCTTTTAATTTTGTCCTCCTTTTTCTCGGACTCTGATTCACCCTCACTGGCTGGTGTCACTGAGGGATTTGATGGTGATTTGTTTCCTTCATCTTTCATATATATACTGGAATCTCTTCTCGATGGCTTCATACCTTGACCTGAACTGAGAGAATTGGCTCGCGACGAAGCCTGGGAACTGCGGAAAGTTGCTTGTGACTGAGACGAAACCTGTGACTTGAAACCTCCTGTCAATCTTGTCTCACTTGGATAAGAACTGAGAGAAGCTGTCCGCAACACCCTCTGCGAACGGGGAACATCTGCTCGCTTCAACACCTGCATACTGGACAGATCAGATAGAGACCGCACCTGTGATCTTGGACAGACTGTCTGCGAGTGCGAACTGGAACTGGGAGGGACAGGTCGCGAGTGCGAAGCGGAAGGTTCTCCCGTCAATCGCGTCGCACTTTGACGCGAACTGAGAGAAGCTGGTGGTGTGGAAACCTGCGAACTAGGAGATACTTTTCGCGACTGCGAACTGATAGAAGAAGTTCACGATTGCGAACTGTGAGATGAAGTTCACAAGGAAGCCAGACAATTGGACGGAAGTGCTAGGGGTTGAGAAGAGACCTGCGCACGCGACGATGCACGCGATTGAGGAGTGATGGATGAAGAAACGTGATTTTCAGTTGGCCGACGCTGTCTAGGAGGGCTCCTCGCTCGGTCTCTAGTTCTCCGGCGACGCTGTTTACGCAGATGATTTATCATCTCGTCCAGCATCGTTTCCATCTTCATAACATGACGTTCGACATTTCCTGGGCTATTCTCCATGTTTGTGGGCAAACCAGAGGCGGTCACCTTGTGTTCTGGCCGTCAATGTTCCCTGCGCTGCTCCTTTTTTTTGAGTGAATGTCGATCCAAGCTTCCCAGAGTCGACTGCTCTGATACCAATGTTAGGGACCTCAACAACGCAACAGAAATTCAGAATTATATTGATGAAAATCTCATAAGACAATAAGCTATTACAATGGTAGAAACCCGAGATCAACGTAAACTGAAAATAGAAGGATTTGAGACACTTCGAGTAGTTTCCCACTCCCAGCCTACTTCCAGATCCAAGTTCTGCATAACTTCATTCCTTCCCTCCTTCCCACTCTTATAGTACTTATATTCTAACAGGCCAGTCCATATTTTATGACATGGCCCAGAATTCTTATTTATACAATACGGTCAATACCATACTTATTTAATATCAATCTATAACTACTACTATTATTCTCTACAGCCCAGGGCCCTATCATAATCATAGTTGCAGAGGAGCATCATTAGAGTAAGTAAAGCCCATATAATAATAAGTGCCAGCTGGAGTAGAAAAGTCAAACACTTGAATTATTTATTACTCCCTATTTGCTATAAATATTGTTATCTTGTTGCTGCTGTTTCTGTTCCCGCCGCTGCTGCTGCTCTGTGTATATATCTACTAAGTACTTATTTAGATTACTACATCTAATGAAAAGCGGAATATTGGACTGAAGCCCATTTAACAACTAAACAATCGTTTCACATCTATTTTCATTTGTGACCTAAATTTTGAAGTACTTAAATATACAATGTTTAAAAAATTACTAATTTTTCCCATATTTAGTTTATGCTTTCTAAGCTAATGCTAGTCATTTTTATCTATTATAATACATTGATTACACATCTTGTGACTCATATTATGTTACAATTTGTGACTAAAATAGGTTTGCCAAAACAAGATATGGACCTCCATTTGGAATCCTTGTTTTGGTGCTGAATTCTACAATAGATTTTCAGAAGTTAATCCTGATGTCACCTTTCAAAAATTCACTTGCTCCCATTCCATTATTATTTAGAGCCCGTTTGGTACCTCTGTTTTTCGGCTTATCAAGCTTATCAACCAACTTTTTAACCAAACACGTAACTTTTGATTTCGCCTGCTAAATTGTGTAATAATAAGAAAAAGTAAGATTGGAGTTACTTTTGTGGCTGTATTGGCTTAAGTTACAGTAGATGACCATTTTAACTATTTTTTCATATAAGTTTTTCTTTATTTATTTAATAAAATATATTTTAAATATATTTTTTTCATAAATCACCAGAATCTGTCAATGCAGCCACTTCAGCCAGAACTTCATAAATTTCTGCAGAATCAGTCGATTTCAGTGTTACCAAAAGGGCTCTTAATTCTATAAGCAGTGCTCTACTGGAATTTCTAAGCTTTCATCATTTTTTATCTAGGAAAAAGTTGCATCAACCTGTAAAGCATAGGAAAAATAAAATGATTGAGTGCATAATTGTAGGGGAGCAACATTTGAATTGTTAGCTTGCTTGCATGTACGAATGCTCGTATGGTTCCTGAATTAGCTTGTCTAGAATTAATCTTGCTTTTAATAATATTTGAAGTCTGTATGGGTAAATTATATTTGAGGGTATTTTTCAAATGAGATTTTTTGTCATAAGAAAACTTCCTTGATTGAGGTAATGTCAAAGCTTCTTCCATGCGCAATTAATGCAGCGTGTGCTGCTCTTGTAGATGCAGGGATTCCTTTGAAGCACCTAGCTGGTATTCTTAATTTACTAACTTGATTATCTGATCAATTATTAGACTTGAGGAACTCATATCAGAGGGTATCTTAATGCACCATTATGGGATTTCATGTAGTTGCAATTTGTTGCTGCTTGACAGAGAGTAAAAACGTTCTACTTGATCCTAACACATCGGAAGAGAAGGTATAGATTCTGTTTTTTACTCCCTTTAATTTGACCTCCTTCCGGTGGTAGGTAGCCCTGTAATGTGACACAACAAATGCAGAACATTTTTTCCCGAAACAATGTAAGACTCAATATGAGGTATCCATGTGAATGTTAAAAGAAAAAATTTGAGTTCGCACATAGCTTTGGGGTGTGATATTTAAAACAGGGGATGCAACCTAGTAGTTTCCCATATTTAAAAAAGGGGGTAGCGCATGTCTGCATAGTTTTATGTGTGTGTGTATACATATACACACATAAATACGTATATGTATGTATTTATGTATCTATATATATCTGTGTGTATTTTAATGTTACGAAATCATTCCCCAAAGGTTATGCTTATATGAAGTTTGTTGGTGTGCCTACTGCCTACTAAAGTCCTGAAACACAACCATTGGTAAAGAAACACATTTAAAAAAGGAAAAAATGACAGTAATCCCACCTAAACGGAATCTCAAAGTAATGCCCCATTTGCACCCCATCTTCTTTCACTAGTCCCTAATCAGTTGATGGCTTGTTATTCTAGTTTTATGTTTTTTTTCTTTAGAAAATATTACATAAATAATCTCACCTTTAACCAATCTTCTCAAAACGGTTCCATATATTATTTTTTTGGGAAAGTTCCCGAAATAGGACTAAAACAGTTTCAAAATTCCAAAATAGGATTGTTATGTTTTTTATTCCCAAAATAGGACTAATTACTGCCATGTTTAGAAAATACTGCCATGTTTGAAGTCTGGTGCTGCCAAAACATGACAGTAATTAGTCCTATTTTGAGAATAAAAACATGATAGTCTTATTTTGGAATTTTCAAACTGTTTTAGTCCTATTTCGGGTAATATCTCTATCTTTTTTATCCCTATACATTTTCTCTTTATTTTGTAACAACTCGGCATTTTTTCCTTTTTTTCATCTTATTATTTTTATTTATTTCTCCTGTTTTTGGATTCCCTTTCAACCTTACCAGAATTTCCCCTCAATAGTTTTTCCTTTTTTCTTCTTCACCATTTTACTCTCTTTCCATTTTTATGTATTACTATTTGGTTTAATTCCCCTTTAATAAATGATTTTTTCTTGCCCCTACTCATTATTTTCTTTATTTTGTTTTTTATTTGAAATTTCTTTTCTTTTTATTATCCTATCTTCTTCTTTTCCTTCCCTTGCCGCCATACTAGAAGTTATTGTTTTTTCTTCCTTTTCACCCCATCTTTTTGTGCTAGCTCTTAACCGGTTAGTTACTCGTGACTCGTTTTTTCCATTTTTATGTATTACTATTTGGTTTAATTCCCCTTTTATAAATGTTTATTTCTTTCCCTACTCGTTATTTTCTTTATTTTTTTATTTCAAAATTTCTTTACTTTTTTATTCTCCTATCTTCTCTTTTTTCCTTCCCTTTTTGCCATACTGGAAGTCATTGTTTTTTCTTCCTTTTCACCCCATCTTTTTTTGCCAGCTCTTGACCAGTCAGTGACTCGTTGTTCTAGCTTTTTTCTTTTCTTTTCTTTTCTTTTCTTTTTGGCTAATCCCCTCGATCCCATTTATCCCTTTTCGTGTAAAGTGTACATGCCAATTTTTCTATTTTTTTACTTTTCCCCGATTGTTGTTTTCATTTATATTTCAATTTCTTCTTCCGTAGTTTTTACTACAAAGAGTTTTTCCCTTGGTTAGTTGAATGAACGGTTGGACTCGTTTAGAAAGATACGTAGTATGATAATTTGGAAAAGGAAAGAGATATATTAAAGGTGAAATTAAGGTAAAAAGAAGAAAATTATAGAAAAAGAACAAGTGGAAGTAAAAAGAAAATATAGCAAAATGCAGTGAAAAAAATATTTTATAAAAAGGGAATTCATTTGAAGAGAAACACGTAAAAGGGAAATGAACTACAAATATGGGAAGAAGAATAAAAAAGGCAAAAAAAACTGCCTGGGAGGAAATTTTACAAGAAAACTGTCCTAATAGAGTGGGAAATAGGATACATAAATATGGAAAATATAAAAAAACAAGAAGACCAAAAACAGGAATCAAAAGGTGAGATCATTGTTATTAGTTTTTCCTTAAAAACTGGACCAATACGTATCTAGATCTGTGGAAACAGCCCCAAAATGTTTTCGCTTAAAAATGTTTGTGGAAAGTTTCCAAGAGTTTCCTTTTCAGAGGCATAAAAATTAAAGAAAGAAAGCTTCGAGGGAGAAAACGAAAAATGATACATGAGACTCTTTTTAGATAAGCAAAAGGTGGAATTATTTTGAGATTACGTTAAATGTGAGATTATTACGAGAAGACCGGTGAAAGGTGAGATTATTACTGTCAGTTTTTCCTTAAAAAACTGGACCAAAATGTATCTAGATATGTGGAAACAGCCCCAAACTGTTCTGCTTCAAAATGTTTGTGGAAAGTTTCCAAGAGTTTCCTTTTCTGAGACTGTCCAAGGAAGGTGGAAGCCCAATGTGTAATATTTGGTAATGATGAAACTTTGACCTAATAGTACTGCTGCTACTAATGGGACTGTGTTTTCAAAAACCGGCAGCAAATGAAGGCATCTGTATATCTAGTCTTCCCAAACTCCCTTCATTCAATTCTCCCCAAAGAAGAATCATCACAGATGACGGGAGGTGGTGAACCGTTGGAATATGGGATTATAACATCTGTAACGCATGGCACATTGAAAGGTATGTTTCGTTGACACACACAGCCACTCTATTCTCTGCAAGCCTTTTCTACTTGAACAATATATGCTGCTTCCTGGATAAATTCGTGTTTGATTTCTTATCTCCTTGAACTCAGTTGAGGATTACCTTCGGTGTTTGAAGCGAGGGCGGGCTGCCAGCTCCAAGTTATCTGATTATTTGAGAAGAAGCTTCCAGCCAAACTGAACCATCTTCTAAACTGGTCAGAGGCCGAGGGTGTCACCCAACTAATGATGGTGGCAAATGCAAATAATGGTTTCATTCATCATGTTTAGGGTAAGGATTGACAGTAGAAGAAGATAAGACAGCGGCCTTGAGTTGTTTATGTTTGGGATAAGGGTCAGATAGGGTCTCGAACTTGGGAAAAAATGTCAAATAAGGCCATATTTAGGATGCTCGGTCCGGCTGATGCCATTTGGGGCGGTTTCCGGTGGAATTTTTTGATGATTTTTTTTGAGAATCTTATTCATTAAGTCTAGTTTATTCATATCAAATTTGAACTAAAACTTCAATTGAGAAGAAATGCATTCAAATGAATTCTTGAAGATAACTGCTCTTTTAACTACGCATTTATCTTCAAGAATTCATTTGTATGCCTTTCCGATTGAAGTTTTAGTTCAAATTTGATATGAGTAAACTAGACTTAATGAATAAGATTCTAAAAAAATTTCATCAAAAATTTCCATCGGGAACCGTCCCAAATGGCGTCGGCCGGACAGAGCATCCTAAATATGGCCTTATTTGACATTTTTTCTCAAGTTTGAGGCCCTATCTGACCCTTATCCCTTTATGTTTCCTTTGAAGTCTGATCTTTTGTTTTTATAGTTATGTTAAAAAGGTTATTTTCTTTTTGTTCCTTAACAGTATACACCCCTGAACTCTTTTAGAGGCTGGAATTTGTTGTAATTTTGAACCACTAACATGATGTTTTTTAAAATATTTTTAGTTTCATTACTCCATCCATCCCGGGTAAAAATTTCCGTTTCGACTTAAGAAGTTTGACTAGTCATAAAGTTCCTTAACCATATTAAAAGTATTATAAAGAAACAATGGCACTAATATTACTTCCTAAGTTTCTAGTTCCAAAAATATTATCACTTTATTCTTTCCCAAAAAAGTGATCAAGTTTTGGCTCCGTTCACTCCATCCGTTCCCATTCCTAACTTTCTTCCTTGCGATTGTCCCCAATCCCAGATCTACGCACCCATCTTCCTCCCTCTCCCAGATCCAAACATCCACCAGAGCTCCGTCGAAGATAGTATAGTTCGATGCCTTCACCAGTCAAAGTCGCCCCCAAGTCTGTTACCATCTCCGCTCGATTTTGTTCTTCGCCTTTCTTCTTTCCTGATGAATGTGTCTCGCTGTGAATGTTATGGCATCGACCCTGCTTCTCTTCTCTTCTATCCAAACAGCTTCAACCAAGCTCCCATTCTCTCTTCCGTCTTGCGGCGCAGACCAACTCCAACATTACAAAGGGATATAAAATAATGGAGCACCTAAATTAAAACAACAACTTGAAACAGAGCCTTCCCATAACTCAGTTGTGCATGTCTCCAACTCTCTATTAATTTGAGAAGGAGCCATTTCTTTAATTTCTTTCCTTGCGTGTGAATTGGTATTTTTCTCCATTAATCTTAGAAGGCACTGAAGGCTTGGGCTACAGTTGGGGTTACAGGGCCTGGTCTGGATGGGGTGTGCACAGATAGTGGACTGTTGCAGTAGGAGCTGGTTGGTAGTGATGGGTCTGATGGGCAGGGGTGAGGCAGAGGGTGGCAATGTCCAAGGCAGGGGTGCTGGTTGAAGGGCTACGTCGGGGTGTGGGGTGTGGTATTGGGCAGCAATTGTGCAGGGCTGGAGGCTGGGGACGTTGTTAGTTGGATGGGGAGGGGCTCGGTGGATTAGGGAGGGGCTGGCGGAGTCACTGTTCGGGCATCGGCAGTCGATGGCGGCAGTTTCGTCGCCGGAAAATTTTCTGGTAAGGTGGATGGTGTCACTGTACTGAGGCCGGAGTTGACATGTCACTACGGCGGCGTCACTATGACGGCGTCACTGTGGCGATGGCGGTGTAATTGACGTGAAAAAAATTGACGGTGGCCACTCTCGGTGACATGAAAAAACGAATCAGTGACATAAAATTTTTGTAGTGACATCATGTTTTCTAATTCCATATATATGACTTTGTTAATCACTTTTTTGTCAATTTTTAAAAGTACTCACATTTTTGGAAATTTAGTTCCATTTAGTAATATTGAGGGAAAAACCCCTATTATAAAATCACAAAACAAACTCAAATTTGATAAAAGTTAGTATACAAAGTAAAAGGTTAATCACAATATAAGTTGATTGGATGAATAGTTGATGAGAATTTAGTCTCCGACGAAGGTGGTATAATTGTATAAAACTAGCTTTCTAGTATGTGCAACTGTCGGTAATAACTAAACCTTAGTGAGTGAGTAACATCATTGCATCTTAAAAAAGCAGGCTATTCATATAGAGCTATACGAAGAGATGAGCGGTGGGAGAGGAGCGGTTATGGGTAAACTCTAGCCTTCTCTTCTTTTTTTTTCTTCTTTTCTTTCTTTTCTTTCTCTTTTTTCAATCTCTTTTGACTTCAATCATGAAAAAGATTTCATGTAATCTGTATTTTCAGTTCTATGTTTACATTTATTTCCTAACGTTGTCTACAAATGTGTTTTTTGTAGTGAAGTGTTGCTCGCCAGAGGTATCTGTCATGCCATCATCGGTCGAGTGTTCTTGTGTGCTATTAAAAAGTTTGTACATGTTTTTTCTAGGGATGGACTAAACCGGACCGACCCGGCCCGGAACCGGCCCGGCCCGCTACTGTGCGGGCCCGGTCCGGACCGGGACCGGTTGGCCGGTTCCGGGCTTTTAGCCTGTTTGGGCGGGTCGGGCAGGCCGGGCTCGGGCCCAGTTTTGGGCGAACCGGCTCGGGTCAATTTTTTTTTTCAATTTTTTTTCTTTTCCTAGGGTAGGGCTGAGTGTTTTGGGGAGGTTTGGGGGTGGGGGTGAGGGGGGGGGGGTCGGGGGATAACAAGAAAGCAAAAAAAAAATTATACATTGAACCGTGCCTGGCCCGGCTCGGCCCGGTTAGGCCCGGACCCGGTATCAACCCGGGCCGGTTCCGAGCCCGAGTACTTGGGAAAAAAGCCCGGCCGGGCCTGGCCCGGCCCGGGTCCATCACTAGACTTTTTCCATCAATCATGAATATTGATTTCTTCTGCATCATAGATTCATAGAGAGCGGTCACCCCCCTCCTGAGCCACCGGCGATCTAGAAAGATGAAATTGCACAAATTGCTTTCTTTTCGGTGGTTGGTGAAACCGAAACAATTTCTGCATTTGGTTCTTTACTGGTGGCTGAAAAAGCAGACAAGTTTAATAATTTCTTTTGGGTGGCTGGTCAAATCAGACCCATTTTAAGTAGCATTAACAATCATATTGCGGTATGAGTCTACATGGTTGCAGGGTTAGCGAGTACGAACGCCTGTGTGGAGCTTCTTTATTCTTTCTCACCTTAATGTGGCATTGAAAGCTATGATTGTAAACTTCCGATTTTTTATTATTATGTTTCTTGTTACCCTTATCAATATTAATTAAGTTATTTTCTTTTACTCTTATCAGACTGACTCAGACGGTCTCATATTTATTATTATATTTCTTGTTACCCTTGCCAATAATCATTAAATTATTTTCTTTCAAAAAAACTAAATCTGAATCATTGAATCAAGATGTGCAATGGATGCATTTTGGGGTTGTTCATACATACTGAGAAGCTGTCTCTTCATCTGATCTGAATGTTTCTGATCTGAAATTTTTAAGATCTGATCTAATCTGATCTGAATTTTTCTGATCTGATCTGAATTTTTCTGATCTGATTTGATCTGATCTGAATAAAATAAGAATAAACAATAAGTAATAAGAATAAGATAAACTTGGGCATCACTACTCTTGATACTTGATTACTCTCTCCATCTCTAAATAAAAGCATCTGTTTCCTTTTCGGACCGTCCCTAAATAAAAATTCTCTTTCCTTTTTTGGCAAACAAAACAGTGCAAAACAGTGTTAAACAGTGTCCAAATAGTGTCAAACAGTACCAACCAAACCCACTTTCTTAAAATGTGTGGAAAACGAATGAATACTTTTATATAGGGACGGATGGAGTATTAATTAATTTCTCAATGACATAACTATTGTTACTTTGATTTTCTGTTTTAGTCAATTTATTGCTGTCATTAGGATTCTTATGATATAGTCTTGGGGTCTCGATTAGGTTAGACAACAAATAAATGGTAAGAAAACATAGTTTATTTCATTTCTCGGTGCGTGCTCATAATAGCTCCGAAAATTGGTTATTCCTCATCGTACTTGTTTTGAAGACGTGTGGCGCGACTTGACACTTTTATTTACGGAGTATTTTTTTCATTTTCAGTGTCATTTATGTTTTATTTTTACTTTTATTAGCCACACACTAGAGCATGTTGGGTCCTCTCTTTTGGTCATTATTATTGTAAGTTTCAAGTTGTTCAACAGTTAGTGAATTGTCGTGCGATGCGAATAATTCTAAATCTAATCGTATGGTTGATGACCGAATTAGGATTGCTTGTAGTCTGCATGTTCTTCATATATTAACATAAGTTTTTTCCATGAAAAAACCTTTTATAGTGGAAAAATTACTTCAACAAAGTCTAATTAAGAATAATCATCATCCCGGTCAATTACTAATTTAAATAAAAGCAAGAGCAAATTATATCGTGGGATCGGCCCACCATATGCATGGTGTGTCCATCTTCATACGGTACAATTTTACGATTAAAAAAACAGAGAGTGTAGCGTCATATGCATGGTGTGTCCATCACCATATGCATGGTGAGCCCCTTTCGTTACCGATCCCTAGCTTTAGTTTGTGAGGATCAACGATTGTCTCCTGAATCTGGAAACTCTCATTGAGTCCCACTTCCCAATCGCTAGTCAGAGAGATAAGGAAGCAAAAAATTTCACGCCCTCAAATTTCTGTAAATCAAAATACATAGTGAGAAACTCCACATCTAATTAATTGAAAATGATAGTTTCTCTATCTTCCAAATTTAAATGCCTTTTGTTTGGGATTCACACTCTATTCAGACATTGTTCTTTCCACATAGTATTCGATTCTGTATCGTACTCCCTCCGTCCCATTTAATGGTTCGCGTCCACTATTCTCTGGTCAACGTGCATTGTTTTTAATCTTTTACTTTATATATCCAACTTTTATCAAATTTAAATTTTCTTGATCAGGCTTTGTAGCGATTTTATGTAGTTTCTGAATATGTAAATTTTATTTACTAAAAATAATTCTACTAATGACAGGGATAAGTTAACTTTATGGTCAGTCAAACGTCGTAAACCGCGTGAGAACGTTTAAATGGGACACAGGGAGTATATTTTAATACATATAAGGTTAATAACTCTAATACATAAAATTAAGGTTATAATATACTTTGTGTAATCTTATACCCACAATTAAATTTGATAACGCATGGAATTACATCTTCCTATGTGCGAGTTATATCTTCATGTGCATGAGTTACATCTTTTTACAAGCGAGTTACATCTTCTCAAGTGCGAGTTACATTTGGACTGACCTCAACAAGTTACATTCTGTATACACCTAAGTTACATTTTTCATCAACGCGAGTTACATTTGTAATAACATGAGTTACATAAAAAACCAACCCTTGGTATTGAAACAAAAAATGATTTTTTTAAATACTTTTGATGGTCATGATATTAAAAACAAAACATATTCACAATTTACGAAAAAAAATTGTGCAATTAGACTCTCTTTTTTCATTGTTTACATTGACATCAATGTTTTATTTCTCATACTATGTATTTAAAAAGTTACATTTCGAATGGACTTGATTTACATTGATCAATAACGTGCGTTACTTAGCTTTACACGTGAGTTA